CTGAACCCTAGGCTTTCCTCTCACACATGCCTTGCCAGATTGGGAGTCAAGAGAAAAAGACCATGAGCTCTCTCTCTGGTGGCTGTGGCTAGAGTAGTAGGAAGATGGAGCTCCAGAGGACTGGGAAAAGTATTCAGGACTACACTGGCTACAGTGCAGGGAAGGGTCTAGTGTACTCTGGGTAGGGGGTAGTGGACAGCAGAATCTACACTGGACTAATTTTGAGACTTGGTTTGGGGACTTGTCCATGGTGGGTAGCCCTTGGCAATTGGCAAAATTGTGGCAGAAAATTAAAGTGGCTTCATTTTTCTTCCTTGGAAATCAGAAACTTGATTTTTCTTTTCCCCTGGATGCACTGCCACCCAGATAGATGACATTCCTAGATTACCTTGCAGCTAGGTGTGGCCACGTGAGTAAATTTTAGCTAGTGTGAAATGTAAGCAGAAGTGTTGCTTGCACCTTCCAAGAAGAGTCCTAAAGGGAAAGGAAGATACTGTTCTTCCTTCATTCATCCATCAGCTGTCTGGAATTCAGATGTAAGAGTTGGAACTCCAGCAGCCACCAACCACCGTGAGGACGGGGTGGGGTGGGGGTCATACCTTAGGGATGGCAGACCAGAGCGATGGAAGGAGCCAGATCCTTGAGGACCATGGAGCCACCATTCCAGCCCTGGACCACACACTTCAGGATGATTTTTGCATTAAGGAAAAATAAACATTTACCTTTTTTAAAGATTCTGTTATTATGAGTATGAGTATATATATGTTATATGTGGTTGAACATAATCCTAACTAATAAAATGAGCCACTCAATATCTTTAGTCATTTTTTAACATTTAAAAAAATTTAAATTAACATGTGAAATTAACTTGTGTGTGTACACAGTTCTATGAGTTTTAACACAAATTTAATATTCATGTAACCATCACCACAATCACGATACAGGACAGTATCCAAAAAAACCCTTCAGGCTGTCCCTTTGTGGTGAAGCCCAGCCCACACCCCTAACCCTTCGTAATCACTGATCTATTTCCCATCCTTATAGTTTTGCCTTTCTCAGAATGTCATATAAGTGGAATCATATAATATGTAATATTTGGACTGATTTCTTTCACTTAGCATAGTGCTTTTGAGATTCATCCATGTTGTTGTGTATCACTAGTTCATTCCTTTTTATTTCTGAGTAGTATTCCATTGTATGGACATACCATAGTTTGTTTATCCACTCATATATTGAAGGACATTTGGGTTGTGTCCAGGTTTTGGTGATTATGAACAAAGCTTCTATAAACATTATTGTACAGGCTTTTGTGTAAACATAAGTTTTCCTTTATCTAGGGTAAATGCCTAGGAGTAGAATTGCAAGACATACAGAAAATTATGTTTAATTTTTTTTTTTTCTGAGGAAGATTCACCCTGAGCTAACATCTGTGCCAATCTTCCTCTATTTTGTATGTGGGTTGCCGCCACAGCATGGCCACCGATGAGTGGTGTAGGTCTGCACCCGAGAACCGAACTCGGACCGCCAAAGCGGAGCGCGCCAAACTTAACCACTAGGCCACAGGGCCGGTCCCAAATTATGTTTAATTTTATCAGAAACTGTTAAATTTTCCCACAGTGGCTGTATCATTTTGCATTTCCACCAGCAAGAGTTCTAGTTGGTCTATATTCTTGCCCAGCCCTTGGTATTATCAGTTTTTGTTTGTTTTGTTTAAATTTTAGCCATGCTAATAGATGTGTAGTAATATCTCATTGTGATTTTAATTTGTATTTCCAAAATGATGTTGAGCAACTTTTCATGTACTTATTTGCTATCCATATGTTTTCTTTGATGAAGTATCTGTTGAAATCTTTTCCCATTTTTTATTGAGTTGCTTGTTTTTTGTTGTTGAGTTTTAAATGTTCTTTATATATTCTGGATGTGAGTCCTTTGTTGGAAATGTGGTTTGCAAATATTTTTTCCCAGTCTGTAGCCTGTCTTTTCAGTGTCTGTTGCAGAGAAAATATCTTAAATTTTGATTAAAACAAACAAAGAAAACCCCAGGAAGCTCAAAGTCAGAACTTTCATACTTCGAGTTCAGATTTCCTTCCTCAATCCACCTGCTACATTTACTTTTCAGAGTCCTCAGATGCTACGTGCACTCTATCCAGGACTTTTAGTTGCATTCAGTGGGAGAGATAGGATGGAGTACGCTTAGTCCATCTTACCTAAAACCAGAACCTGTTCCAATATCCTTTTAATAAATTCCTTTTCCATTTAAATGAACTTATTTCTGTTGCTTACAACCAATAACTCTGGCCCAGTTGTATAATTTATCCATCACATGTCTGTTTCCCTAACGAGACAGAACTTCAAAGACAAGTACCATTATTTCCCCATGGGATCCCTAGTTTGTAGTACTTGGCCTAGCACAGTGTCTATTGAGTGAATGAATGAACAAATTTCACTATGATGATCAATATCGTTAAAAGAACACAGTTATTTTTATAATCTATTTGTGGTCCTTAGGTTATTCATTAGTTATGAGAGTAATCTGTTTTCTCAAATATTACAGATAAAAAATAATAATCTGGAAAAAACATAATCTGGGTAATGGCCATCCATTGTTTGGTGTGCCCAGCATCCTACTCTAATGGGAAACTGCTTCTTTCTGCACCCAAAAAGTGGTTCTGGTGAGGACTTCCAGTCACACTCCCCTCTCTTCACCCCTATGACTTAAGCAAGCCTATCAGAAGCCTTCACTAGGATTTTCAAATTGGAACTAAGGGAAGAGAGTTTCTTCCTCTGTGTTAGTAGGAAGCTGCTCTCTAGTAGGAGAGAATGAGGTATAGATGGAGAGAGAAGCACAAAAAAGAGATATTTCTGATTTCTTTTCATTCTCTGTTCTTCCCAGATTGGTTGAGTTAATATATTCTCCTTTTCATCAAAGTCATAACAAATGCAATCTGAATGATTAAGGATTCTTTTGAGATTTCTTTTTTTTTTTTTTAAAGATTTTATTTATTCAGTTTTTTTCCCCCCAAAGCCCCAGCAGACAGTTGTATGTCATAGGTTCACATCCTTTTAGTTGCTGTACGTGGGACTCGGCCTCACGTTGGACGGAGAAGTGGTGCCTCGGGGCGCTCCCGGGATCCGAACCCAGGCCGCCAGCATCAGAGCGCGCGCACTCAACCGCTAAGCCACGGAGCCGGCCCTCTTTTGAGATTTCTTAACCTCATATCTTGTTTCTATAACTTTGGGAAAACATACACTTTCAAAACTATTGTGTAAATCAATGTTTTATGGGTTCGGAACGTCTCTATTGTGTAAATCAATGTTTTATGGGTTCGGAACGTCTCTTACGTTTGAACTCTGTACCATGCCTTATCACTTTCCTGCTTGCAAATTTCCAGTGGTATGCTTTCTCTTTCTCATTTTAAAATTTCTCATTCCTTCTTGCCACATTTCTGACAAGCACTTATTGACAGAAAACAAGGAATCTAAATTCTTGTGTTTCATTTTTGCCAGAATTTATTAAAAGTATGATTTTCTACCTATCATACAAGTCAATATCTTAAGCTTGAATTTTTTTTACTGGACAGAGATTCTTCAGAGTCCCCATCATTTTTTCTCTCTCTATAAATACTATATATTTTTTCCATCTTGTAAATAATTGTTAAGAGAAACTCATTTCACTACAAAAACAAAGAAGGAAATGAAATAGGAAGGAAGGAAGGAAGAAAATATTGAGAGGGACTTAATGTTTCAAAAAAAATTTTTTAGCTGCAAAAATCTTGATCAAACAAAATACAATCCAAAAGCCCAGAGAACAAAAAAATTAAGACTGATTATCTGAAACAGTAAGAGGGTGAGGGCAGTCTGCTCATCTGTAGTACCCTACCACAGCCATTAGGGCGCTCTGAGAAACCGCTAGGGTCCTAGAGTCTGGATTCCTAGGGGAAAGAGGTCTGTCAAAGTCTGGGAAATGTTTATTTATCAACAGAATCAAACACTTCAAATAGAGCATTTTGCTTTTCACACTAAAGGGAAATAGGTATAGAGAAAAAGGATACCTAATCTAGGAATTCTTTAAGAAATTCTGGCTCTTTCAATATGAAAGTACTAGTGGTGATGCTAAACAATACATCTTCACTGTCACAGAAATAATAAAGTATATCTCTGTTTGGGTGTTATGATTTCTGTGATACCCAACGAAGTTACCCTGATAATAACTTACTACCAAGAAATGAACAAGTTAATTTCCTCAGTGACTTCAATTTATTTATTTACAAAATAATATAGCAGCTCTAATTTATCTCACATATTTGCTTAAAAAATATAAAATTAATAAGAATATGTATAAAATTTAGCGTATATCTTAAAAAATATCAACATTTCAAAGGGAGAAAACCAGCCTGAACTACGACTTAAGAATTCATGTACTATATTCTTGACCCTAAAACAAATAATGTTACCTAATTTCCTAATTCTGATGATTTGAAAAGAAAACAAATTAAATTAAAGGGCAGAATTTTAGGCAGAATAAACAAAACACTACTTGAATATTGCATTTCTCTAAGAAGGCCTACTTTTCAGAAAAGCCAAAACTGTGGCAGCCATATTCAAATATGCCACAAGGGGCCGGCTCCGTGGCTTAGCGGTTAAGTGCGCGCGCTCTGATGCTGGCGGCCCGGGTTCGGATCCCGGGCGCGCCCTGAGGCACCACTTCTCCGTCCAACGTGAGGCCGAGTCCCACGTACAGCAACTAGAAGGATGTGAACCTATGGCATACAACTATCTACTGGGGCTTTGGGGGGAAAAAAAATGAATAAATAAAATCTTTAAAAAAAAAAAAAAACAAATATGCCACAAGTCACATTGACAAGAAAGCAAATAAAGAATAATTACAAGATGAGCTGTAAAGGCAAATGCTAAAATTGAATTATTTGACTATTGACGTTCCATTTTCCCTTTTCCTCAGAAAATAGGAGCTCTCTCATCCACTTGAAAGGTTTGCATACCTGTCACGTTTGTCTTTTGCCCTTTTCTTTTTCTCCTCAAACTGTTCCAAGAGACTTTTTGACTTTCCAGCTGACAAAGGAAGAGGAAAGAAGCCTCCATCTTTTTTATCTCCTCCAAACAGTTGAGGTTTTGTCTGGTACTTTGTGAAAATGCTAGGTTCATTCTGTTAAGTGAAAAAAAAAATTATAGCATTTCACACATAAAAATTTTTATAGCATTCACTATTTTCTATACAATGCAGAGTCACATTTATGTGCAAACTATAATACTAAAAAACAACATAGCATGTAGTATTTCCTTTTTATTTCATATACACCAGAAACTTATATTAAAATAAAGCAACTCTTTTTTTTTAATATAGTTTCTGCCTTACCAGCCCAGAGATATTTAAAATGTCAGCTAAGGGCCGGCCCTGTGGCTTAGCGGTTAAGTGCGCGCGCTCCACTGCTGGTGGCCCGGGTTCGAATCCCAGGCGCGCATCGACGCGCCGCTTCTCCGGCCATGCTGAGGCCGCGTCCCACATACAGAAACTAGAAGGATGTGCAGCTATGACATACAACCATCTACTGGGGCTTTGGGGGGAAAAATAAATAATAAATAAATAAAATCTTTAAAAAAATAAAAAAATAAAATGTCAGCTAAAATGGCTTAAAATCAATTGCATAAATTTAAAGGCAACAAAACAGAGAATTATTTTTGCTCTCTCTGAGATGATGTATTAAAGTTTTCATATTAATAAGTTTAACTTAAATTGCTGTTGCTCAGCTGGTGGTAAACTAGAATTGCTGATAAGTTTGACATGAACTAGACATTGGGCATACCAGCACATAGTAAACCATTTCCTGCATTCTGAGGCAAAACTTACTCTGAAACATTCAGGGAGTACTTTTAATCCTTCATATCACTGGGCACCAATTTTTGTACAGAAATACTTATCTTACAGGATAGTCTACTAACTTAAAACACTGACCTAATCTTACTCCTTAAGTCCCTATTTGATGTGTCTGTATATATACAAGTTAAATCTAGTTCTAGACCAAAATAAATAAATATATAAAAGTATTTCTGACTCACAAAAGAAGACAGGCTGGTCTCAAAAAATCAAGTACTCAAGAGACTGTGCTCCTCATCCTGGCTCTTATTCATTAACTTAGGCCTCAGAATCCTCATCTCCTTCTTCAAGGAGATAATGTAGCATAGTAAACTAAAATCCACAAAGCACCTGAAGTTTCTTAGGAAAAAACGTCTATCTAAAATAAAATTTATGTTACTTTACTCCTATTTTTCTAAAGTTCTTTTTTTCCTATGAAATTTTCACAAACAATAGTATGACTAGTCTTAGAAAATGTCATGCAATATTTGGCTCTCTCTAGGAGTGGTCAAGGTACTGGCACTATTCTATACAGCTTTAGTAATAGAAGAAACTGCAAATATAAATATTTTTTCCATTTCAGACTACCAAGTCAAATGAGTCACCAATCAATTTAGGAGAATACAAATCCATTTAGGAGACTAATCCTTAGAGATGTGCGATTCTAAAGCACAATCCAATAGAATAAGTCCTCTTTAAAGCTTATCTCCAGAATGACTGTGAAATGTGTGCAGAAAAATTCTGGAAATCAGACTCACATCCAGAGAATTCTGTTGTGATTGTTTTGGATGTCTCAAGTGGACACCAAAGTCCAAGGGTGCTGACAGAGTGTCTGAACTTTCTGGACAGAACTGGGACCCAAAGAGGAACTGGGAATCACTGGGACTGGAGTAATCAGTCTGATTATTATTCCAGTTAGATGACTTAGCATTCCTGAAATTAAGCAAGAAAAGAAAAGTATATCAAGTGAACAAACATCCTGAAAAAATGAAATTATAATTTACAACTATTCATTTCAGAATATTCTGGGCAGAGTGCTAGCTTGTTCTGACCTCCTAGTCCCCTGCATACTGCCAGTACTACCTACAAAGAAACACAAGAAAATTTTGAATGCCAGACATTTTGATTACAACAACCCGGAAACAATCAGATGGAAATTCAAGCATTAAGGACTAACACCATTATTCCTTATACAACAGCACAGTAGGCTATACCATCATTTTGGAGATTAAAGTTCATTAAATCTTTAGGGATTAAGAGAACATCATCTTTTCAAAAGCTAAATCTGTTCATCACTAAGACAAGGAATAGGATAAAAAGTGAAAATATGGTATATGCATATAACTGATGTGGTAGTCAGAAGCAATAAGCTAGATTTATATATAACCACATGAATAAGTCTCAAAAAATATAATTTTGAGTGCAGGAAAAAAGTAAAAATTGAATGAGCTCTGTCACATATCATTTATGTAAACTTTTAAACCTACATCATACAAACCAAACAGGTAGGTAACAGTGTATAGAAGATGAATTGGAAGGACACACATTAACTCTCCTGGAGTGTGTGCCTACAGGGAAGGAAGGGAGCAGGATTGGAGGAAGAGAAGGAGCCATAATATAACAAACGCAAGATAGACCTAGCTATGGACTGAATGTTTGTGTCCGCCCAAAATTCATATGTTGAGGCCCTAATCCATAATGTGATGGTATTTGGAAATGAGGCCTTTGGGAGGTAATTACGTTTAGATGAGGTCATGAGGGTGGGGCTCTCCTGATGGGATTAGTGTCCTTATAAGAAGAGAAACCAGAGAGCTTGCCCTCTCTCTTCCTCTCTCCAACATGTGAGGACACAGTGAGAAGGCAGTTGTCTGCAAGCCAGAAAGGGAGCCCTCACCAGAAACTGAACATGCTGGCATATGGTTCTAGGACTTCCCATCTCCAGAACTGTAAGAAAATAAATTTCTGTTATTTAAGCCATCCAGGTTATGGTACTTTGTTATGGCAGCTCAAGCAGACTGAAGAATATGATCAACTCAAATTTGTGCACAGAAGGATCCATTAAAAATTGTTTTTGAAACAAGGTGTTGTTCCCTTTCACAGTTTTAGCATCTTATCCTTGTTTGCTTTTAAAAATTCCCTCTGTGGACTTCAACTTGCTTCCCATGGATATCTACGCCAGTCTTTAAGCCTCACATATGAAGAGGACAGTGATATTGATAATGATACAATCACACTTGAACATAGTGTACTGAGCCTACTACAGAGACAGCACATAAGTGGGCAGACAAGTAAAACACGTAGTCTTCAAGTTTTTACTTGAAAGACATCTCAGTAACAATTTGTGTTACTTAATGTTGTTGTGTAACCTGAGAAAACATGCTTTTCATTAAAACACGCACAAAAAAAAAATGCTTTTCCAAGTGTTAAATTTAGGTTTAATTAGATAGCATATAAGTACATATTCTAAGCCAAAGGAATGATCATATATTAATATAAGACAAAAAGAAACTCTAACAGTTCAACACAGGGAAGAGCAATTATTATGACCATTTTCTAAGATTAGCTAAGGCAAAGGGCTGCACGCATATATTATAATATGGGTTGCATAATCGTTGCTCAAAATAACTAAATAGCTCCCTGTGACTCCCCTCTTAGGTCAAAGAGAACAATTAGCTGAGCTGGAAAAAAATAACAGCTCTGTGAGTCTACAGAAATGATGTAAGATTTACATCTTAAAGCTATGATCTGGAATTAAAGATAAATTTTCCCGACTCTGTATCAACTGTAAGCATGTTTTTTCTTTTTGAGAAATAAAAAAAACAATGCTCTAGGTCTGCTGAATTAATAACTGTCTTCAGGAAGGTGTTAGGAAGAAAAGAAACTATTCAGTGATAAAAGCATACCAAAAGCAATTAGAAATCCCTTAAATATATACTACTTCTGGGACACACCCATCAAGTTAGCAATGGCAGGCCTACTGCATGGCTGGTGAACACCAATGTAAGTACCTCGGTGAAGTAGTAGAGGGGGCAATATCTCAATGAGCCTTGTCAACAGTTGGAGTGGCTCTTAACTCCACATTACCTACAAACTACTACACAACTGAACACATATCTGAACATTGTCTTGATTTTTCTCTTTGCTGTTTCAATAGCAATGGTTCCAACTGAGGTGAGAGTTTCTAGATGTCAAACCATGTCTAACTCTCACAGCCCTCATAGTTCCTAGGCCCAGTGCTGGACACAGAGTCACTGCTCAATTAACACACAAAGCTGAACTGACATTGCTTTTATAGTCAGAAAATAGGCAAAAGGAAAAAGACAAGTATGGGAGGGTGCAGCAGTGACAGGTGAGGGGAAGAGGAGGGGAAGAAGGTATATGGGGTAACCCCATTACTATAAACTAATAGGAATAGAAGCCTCTTTCTATGAAATCAATACAACTACAAGATCCTCTTAAGTTTCAAAGTATATAACCAGATAACTTACCCAGAGCCTGAGGGAATACTGAGCATCTCTTTGATATTCCAGACATTAAAATTCATTTCCTATTTTTTATTCTTATTAAAAAGAAGAGAGGAACATTAATTCAAGAGGTTAATACACTATTTTTTCCCAAAAATTTCACTTTACTGGTGACTATTGTATGTAGATGAGCACATTTCAGCAGTTATATTCCCATGCAATTGGTGAAAATTCTCATTACCTAATATGCCAAAAACAGGTATTTTCTGCTGTTAAATTGCTCTCCTTCTCAATACCAGGGAAAGCCCAGTCACCTTTAAACAGTAAATTTGCCTTCCATCCTCTGCTCTCTTGCCCTTTTCTTTGCCATCCTACTAATAATCTGCTTCTAGGAAAAGACCAGTAAACCCCATCTTTCATTGCCTGATATAATGAATGACTTAATCTATAACCTCTCCCAAGAAGACTAGTTCTTCCCAGACCATAGGATATTGGAATCCTAAGAGAGCTGTGGAATTTGGACAGTAAAGAAGCTAAATGAAGAGTGAGTGCTTTGGGCAAAAGCGCTTCCCACACTTCTTATAAGCAATTGTCTACTTTGCTCACTGCAAACCCAACACAATGCATACTACAGTTCATTATGAGGCACATATAGCCTGGATTTTATGAAACAGGCCCAATTTCTAAATTTTGTCTCCCTGATCTCACAGAACATTCACATTTATCAGATTATATATTACCGTTGAGGGTATCAGAAAATGATTCCCACACATATGGTGGACGTATTTGATCAAATATCAAATACTGCCCCAACATAGATCTAGATAAAATGAAACAGAAGTTATGAACAAATGTAGACATTTTTGTATACTTCTTATATAATTTAACCTTTTTAGAGAAATCTGTTACATTGAAGTTTTCTAATTTTCTAGAAAAACAGATGCATTTGGGGGTTTATAATCACTTGTTTTTCAAGAATGTTAAGTACAGACCACAGGATCAAGGGCCTAAAGGCACTGCCATTTACACAGCCCCTACTATGTGCCAGGCACAGTGCTAGATACGTTGCAGGATACAAGCTTAGTGATTTTGTGTGTGAGGTAGGTGTTGTTATCTCTATTTAGAAGTTTGTGAAGACTCATATGGGCTAAATAATTAGCTCGAGCTCTCTCCAATAATTAGAGGTAAGCAGGTCAGCCCAGTACCAAAGTCTGTACTGTTTCAAGCATATCATGCTCTTGTTTCTCAACACTGGCTCTGTTTTAGGTACTTTCTAGAACCAAGAACCTCTGTATTTCTCCCTTTATTAGCAACACGGTAATGACTTGAAAGGGTACGGCTTTAGAAGAAACAGATGAAGTTTCAGATCCTGACTCTCATATTTATAAATTGTGTGAACTTGGGTAAATTAGTTAACTTTTTTGAATTTCAGTTTCCTCATTAGTTAAATGAAGATAACACCTACCTTTAAGGATGGGGTTAGGGATTCAAGATCATGAATATCCAGTGCCTGGATGTGGACATTGGTACTTACTAGATGCTTCTTAATTACTTTCTCAGAGACTGTGGCTTCACCATTTTCAAACAAATCCATGGTCTCCTAGGGCTTTCCATATTCACCTACTCTTAGCTCAAAGGACTCTCATTTGTAACACATCAACTCTCTTACATTCACTCTAGCTGAGAATAAAGTTGCTGCAGGGTTGGGACTAAATACCACAGTTAATTATTTTGTCTCAACTTTATTGAACACAGTTTAGATAATTTCTTCTTTGTAGACTACCTTTAAAGAAGTTCAATGTAATATCAATTTTACACTATGCAAATAAATTAATAAAATACCACACTGAGATGAAAACTGAAGAAAATGTATTTAAAAACTGGCATTATTGTCCAGATGGGTTCATATGTGAATTCTACCAAACATACAAGGAAGAAATTATACCAGTTCTCTACAATCTCTTCCAAAAGATGAAGCAGAAGGAATACTTCCAACTCATTCTACGAGGCCAGCATTACCCTAATACCAAAAGCAGACAGAGACATTACAAAAAAGGAAAATCACAGACCAATACCTCTCACTAACATAGATGCAAAGTCCTAAACAAAATATTAGAAAATTGAATCCAATAATGTATAGAAAGAATTATACACAACAATCAAGTGGGATTTATTCTAAGCATGCAACGCTAGTTCAACATTTGAAAATCAATTAACGTAATCCATTACATCAACAAGCTAAAGAAGAAAAATCATATGATCATATCACTAGATACAAAAAAAGCATTTGACAAACTCCAATATCCATTCACAACAAAAACTCTAAGCAGGGGGCCGGGCCGGTGGCGCAAGTGGTTAAGTGCACACATTCCGCTGCGGCAGCCCGGGGTTCGCCGGTTCAGATCCCAGGCACGCACCCATGCACTGCTTGGCAAGCTATGCTGTGGCGGCATCCCATATAAAGTGGAGGAAGATGAGGCACGGATGTTAGCCCAGGGCCAGTCTTCCTCAGCAAAAAAAGAAGAGGATTGGCAGATGTTAGCACAGGGCTGAACTTCCTCACACACACACACACACACACACACACAAAACAAACTCTAAGCAAAGTAGGAAATAGAGGGGAACTTCCTCAACTTGATAGAAAACATCTACAAAAAACCCCAAAGCTACTATACTTAATGGTGAGAAACTAAAAGCCTTCCCACTAAGGTCAGGAACAAAGCAAGAATGTCCTCTCTCCTCTCACCACAACATCATACTGGAAATCCTAGCTAATGAAATAAAACAAGAAAAGAAAATAAAGATATACAGATTGGAAAAGAAGAAATAAACTGTCTTTGTTCACAGATGACATGATTGTCTATGTATAAAATATGACAGAATTGACAAACTACTGGAACTAACAAGTGATTATGACAACGTTGCAGAATAAAGATTAATATACAAAAGTCAATCTCTCTCCTATATGTCAGCAATAAACAAGTGGAATTTGAAATTAAAAACACAGTACCATTTCCATTAACACCCCCCCAAAAAAGAAATACTTAAGCATAAACCTAACAAAACATGTATAAGATCTATATGAGGAAAACTACAAAATTTTGATAAAAAATATCAAAGAAGAACTAAATTAATGGAGAGATATTCATGTTCATGGACAGGAAGACTCAATATTGTCAAAATGTCAGTTCTTTCCAACTTGATCTATAGATTCAATTCAATCCCAATAAAAGTTCCAGCAAGTTATTTTGTGGATATCGACAAACTGATTCTAAAGTTTATATGGAGAGGCAAAAGATCCAGAAGAGCCAACACAATATTGAAGGAGAACAACAAAGTCAGAGGACTGACACTACCCAACTTTGAGACTTACTATAAAGCTACACAAATCAAAACCGAGTGGTATTGGCAAAAGAATAGACTCAGTGGAACAGAATAGAGTGCCTAGAAATAGGCTCACTCAAATATAGTCAACTGATCTTTAACAAAGGAGTAAAGTCAATAACGGAGAAAAGATAATCTTTTCAACAAATGTGCTGGAACAACTGGACATCCACATGCAAAAAAATGAATCTAGATACAGACCTTACACTTTTCACAAAAATTAACTCAAAATGGATCATAGACCTAAATGTAAAGTGCAAAGCCAAAAAAACTCTTAGAAAATAATATAGGAGAAAATCTAGTGACCCTGGGTTTGGCAACGACTTTTTATTATTTATTTATTTATTTATTTGTGAGGAAGATCAGCCCTGAGCTAACATCCACACTAATCCTCCTCTTTTTGCTGAGGAAGACTGGCCCTGGGCTAACATCTGTGCCCATCTTCCTCCACTTTATTTTATTTTATTTTTTTTTTAAAAGATTTTATTTATTCAGTTTTTTCCCCCCAAAGCCCCAGTAGATAGTTGTATGTCATAGGTTCACATCCTTCTAGTTGCTGTACGTGGGACTCAGCCTCGCGTTGGACGGAGAAGTGGTGCCTCGGGGCGCTCCCGGGATCCGAACCCGGGCCGCCAGCATCAGAGCGCGCGCACCCAACCGCCAAGCCACGGAGCCGGCCCTTCCTCCACTTTATATGGGATGATGCCACACCATGGCTTGACAAGTGGTGCCTCAGTGAGCGCCCAGGATCCGAACCCGGGCCGCCAGCAACGGAGCGCATGCACTTAACCGCTACACCATGGGGCCGGCTCCAAGGCAATGCCTTTTTAAACACAACACCAAAGACACGATCCATGAACAAAAGAATTGATAAACTGGACTTCGTTAAAATTAACAACTTCGGCTCTGTGAAAAACATTGTCAAGAAAATGAGAAGACAAGCCATAGACTGGGAGAAAATATCTGCAAAAGACATTTGAGAAAGGACTGGTATCCAAAATATATAAAGAACACTTAAAACTCAACAATAAGAAAACAAACAACCTGATTAAAAAATAAACCAAAGATCTGAACAGATATCTCACCAAAGAAAATATACAGATGGCAAATACACATATGAAAAGATACTCAACATTATAGGTCATTAGGGAAATGCAAATTAGAACAACAATGAGATACCACTATACACTTGTTAGAATAGCCAAAATCCAGAAAACTGATAACACAAACTGCTTGCAGGGATGGAGAAACAGGAACTCTAATTCATTGCAGATGAGAATGCTAAATGGTACAGCCACTTTGGAAGGTGGTTTGGCAGTTTCTTATAAAACTAAACATATTTTTACCATATGCTCTAGCAATCACAGTCTTTGATATTTACCCAAAGGAGTTGAAAACTTATGTCCACACAAAAACCTGCACATGGATATTTATAGCAGCTTTATTCATAATTGCCAAAACTTGGAAGCAACCAAGATGTCATCTTCAGTAGGTGAACGGTTAAATAAACTGTGGTACATCCAGGCAACAGAATATCAATAATTCCACTGATAGACATGAGCTATCAAGTTACGACAAGACATGGAGGAAACTTAAATGTATTTTACTAAGTGAAAGAAACCAATCTTAAAAGGCTACGTATTGTATAATTCCAACTACATGACATTGTGGAAAAGGCAAAACTATAGAGATAGTA